AAATGACGACTTAGATGAATTTGTAAGAATTATGGTTTGTAAAAGTAAGAGAATATCTCTCTCCCCATATGTATATATATTATATAGAGGGAGGTTCACGGGAAAACACTTACAAAAATGAAAAACTGAGGAACAACCTAGTAACCATTCATCTGGATGGTATGCACATGAATATACAAATAATTAAAGTTGTTTATTGGTTTTTTTTGCACGTATGCATATTATACACATGTGGATACAAGACAAATTGCTTACAACTTACTTGTATGCACATGTGCATATCATTCATATGAACAGTTACTAGAGTGTTCGTTAGCTTTTCATTTTTTATGGTTTTTCCCTAAATCTGACCCTATATATATATATATATATATATATATATATATATATAGGTGAAGGATCATGTGAGAAGCGTAAGAGATCTGGACTCTTGATCACATTTAATCCCAAACTCACCCATGAATCGCATTTAATACATAGATTTATCCGATGCATCTCGATATATCACATTCTAATGTACATCCAAATATGAAGGTACGTTCTTACACACTTTTCACCTTTAACTCTCATTCTCACTAAAACCAACCCTATATATCATGTTGAATCTGTTTAGTGGTTGATAGAGAGATTGAAGAGGACAGGACTTGGGATTTACTCCAATAATCATGATTAAGTATTGGCATGGGAATTATATAAATGTCAAGTAGCAGTAAAATAAGAATAAAAATTCAAGTTATCATGCAATATATTGCGGTTTCTTGTCCCAATACTTATCCACAACAATTATTTTAATAAAATTCAATATCAATTAAATAACCCATCTTATAATTATAATCCATTTTATAAAATATTTTTTTAAAATAATGATACAATAAAATCAATAATATTAAAAAAATCAATTGATATAATTTAAGTACATTAAACATATGACCATGTGTTAGAAACTTGACATTGATTACTCAGAGGTTGAGTATTTTCGATAAGTATGTTATATTTTTTAAATTTAAAAGGTCTCCCCATTTTTTTTTAGTTTTAGAAGAGATTTAATATAGATACTAAAACAAATATTTTTTAAATCTTCAATTTTTTTTAGAAATGATTTATTCGTGTATTATGATGGAACCACCCACAAATAACTACAAATCCAACTTAAAGAATGTTACCTATGTTTCAAACGATTCCAAATGCTGGAGCCTAATATCTTGAAATAAATGGTATTTTATAATTTGTAGATTTTCACATTCTAGAGGTATGCTAACAAAGATATATATATCTATACTATCTTATAAAACATTTGACTAAAACTTTTTTAAAAAACTCTTAAAACTCTTAAACTTGTTCATCTCTAAATGATTTCATCCCTATCCGATTTCATCCCATATCTGAATTCGTGTAACTAACTGCAGATATTCACAATCAAATACAGGATAAACATCTCATTTTAAATATAAAAAATCTAAAATATAATTAGTATAATCATTAAATTCTAACAGAATACTTAATTATTATATTGATAAAATTTATAATATTAATTATTATATTCATATAATGTTATAATATTAAACCAAATGTATAATCCTATTGTGAGGTTGAGTTTCAGTGAGAAGATAAGTTATAATGAGAAACGTAAATAATTGCCATAAATGTTATAATTGTTTTGATGAAAAAAAAAATCAAAAGGCGTAACTTTTAGATAAACTATGTTTGTCGTCCTTATCGTTTGTTGAATTTTTTTTATTTTCGTCCATGTGATGTAGAAATTACGCCTTTAATTTCCATGGTATATAATCTATTATCATTTTCGTTCTTATGATTTAAACTTTATTTTATTGTTTTGTTTTTGTTGTTTACAGTTCATTTCTATAATTCCTCATACTTAAAATTAGTATTTAGTCACAGGGAAAGAAATAGAAATAAATTGCAAACCATATAAACCGTAATTTCAAAACCACAAAGACGAATTAAGCAATTTATGACAAATCATGAGAAGGGGGTAACCAAACATAAGGTTTCTTCTTGGATTACACGTATATTTTTATACGTACATCATTCGTTCGATTAGCATGCACATGCCTTCGTCGAAGCATATCGAACGGAATGCCTCAACCCTCTCGTTTCCAAACTCAATTTGACTCCTCTTACACCATCTTAAGTTTGAAGGGGGCTTGGTTAGATTAGTACACTACATTTGTATATTTATGTATAATACAGGGACTAGTCTTGTCACTTTCATATTCTAGTTGGAGGTATAAATACTACAAGTTTTCCTCATCTTGAATCAACTTGATCCATACATTAATTACCTTCACAATAAAAAAAATTCGATTAATTTGTCAGTTTTAAAGTTACCAACATTTAGGTGGCGTTTGTTTTTTAAGAGGTGCTTAAGTCAAAAGTCTGAATTCACTTCTGAATTTTAAGAGGTGGTGCTGAAGTCTGAAATCTGAATCAGTCAGACTGTTTGTTTTTACGTCTGAAATCTGAAATTTGAATCATTGAAATCTAGGCTTTCTTTGCAAGCATTGGAAGCTCTAAAAGCAATTAAGAGGTTTTAAGTGAAAATGTTACCTCTAAATAATTCAGACATAATCAGAGCTTTTAAGCTCTTAATTGAAAAAAAAAAAAAAACAAACACACTTAATACCCTAAGGTCTGACCGATTCAGACATAAGAGGGTATTAAGTGCTTTTTAGGTAAAAACAAACAGGGCCTTAATGACTTAAATTAGTGCTTAATAAATAATAAAATAATTCATCTTAACTCTTATATTAATATGTTTTTAAACATAAATAACGTTAAAATAACGATTTTTTTTTTAATTTATCTGTCAAGGTTTTGAACAATTATCTGAAATGTTGTCTAATTCTTTTAATGTGCTTAATAATTAAGACCTCTTTCAAGCCATAGACAATGAAAAGATATTTCTTTAAAGAAAAATCAATCGTAAAACAGTGTTCAGGCCCATGAATAAGTAAAAGATATTTGTTTACATACAAAAATAACTGATCATAAAATAAAGCACAAAGATCTATCTGCTCCTATTCACTAATGATTGTTAATTTATGGGTTGGAATCCACCGAAAATAATATTACACACCAAACATGATATAAAAAGCTAAACTCGTCATATAAGATGTTAAATAAACACATGTGGGGCAAGTGAATAAGCCTCATAGCATTTGTTAATGGCATCAATGTTCACGTCAAATGATAAACAATGCTTTTTCTTTTTAAATTATTTAAAAAGATATAATATTCAATTTTTTTTTTTTAATTTTGGTTATTTTCAATCATAATTTAAAAATATAATATGTTTAATCACGAACTGGATGACCTGCTAGATTGGATTACCATTCTTAAAAAAAAATAGATGGACTTGGACTGACTAGTTAAAATTAATGGACGAGTATGATCAATGGAAAAAAAATATTTGGGCAAGCATGTCAGAACCATTAATATTTTTAGAGTAATTAATTTTTATAATTAAATTTTACAAATAAAATTGAAAATTCTTAATACTTATCAATTCCTACTTAATTATGATTCATGATAGTAATATTCTGTATGAATCTTAAATTTGAAAATATAATTGTCTCAATTGATCAATTTCTTATTATCTCATTTAGTCATTTTCTTTACCGATACTTCATATTTAGTGAAACAATTTTTTTTTCTTCTAAAGTATGTATATTGTTATGTATTTACGTCAAATTTTAAGTCATTTTCTTTATTGATACTTCATATTTTGAATTATTTTACATAACTTGTGATATTATATAAATTTTGTTTCCATAAAAATTTAACAAGATTTTTGAGCTTGTTAGCTCGCGGGTAAGCCATGTCCGTTTATAAAGCGGGTGCGGGTAAGTTTTCAAGGCCGTAAAACGGTTTGGTTTTACCGTATTAGGCCCGTGGGACAAAAAGATAGATTAAGCTCAACCCAGGTCCGACCCAAGCCTGCAAATGATTAGCTCTAACTTTGGGCATCATCAATGAAAAACTATTACAAGCAAACCGTCTAGTTTCTTATAAAAAAAAACCATCATTGGAGAGAGTTTCCTATAAGAACCTCAAATTCTTTGAGTTCTTGTACAACAAGACCCTTGGTTCTTACCTTGAATTTGGTGTGAAGTATGGCTGCATATGAGTTGGGCTGGTACAGTTGAAGACTTTTGAACAATTCAACCCAATGTTTGCGGGTCTATAAAATCTCAACCCAACCCGAATCATACGGGCTGGGTTGGTCGGGTTAAAACTTTGATATATAATTTTACAATCTTGCTAAACAAAGTAAAATCAAGATAAGAATATACAAAAAATGCTAACAAACTCAAAAAAAGTTGAAGATTCATGCAAATGAGAAAGTAACATTATCATTGAAATGGTAATATAATTTTAAATATAGCTAATCACAAGTTGGTGCAAATTTTCTTAACTCAATTCCAACCTAATAGATGTGGTTCAACCTAATTTTGTATCAATTATGTATCAGGTTACTTTGGATTGAGTCTTTTTTAACGTTTTTTTAGGTTAAATTAACTGTGTTGGTTGTTTATTTTAGCATCTTTTAATGTGAAGTAACATTTTGTTAATTTTTTATATGTTTTATTTATTTTCCCATTGAAGATGCTATTATATTTAAATCATAAAAAAAATCTAAATAAAATTTTGTTTAAATAAAAAAGGTGGAATAATAAATTAGAGAAATCGAATAACAAAAACAAGAAATAAATTCAAAAAATAATGAAAAAATAGAACCCAAAAGGGTAAATATTGTATTTTTGTATTTTTATCAACCATATTATTAATTTTTTATTTTAATTCATTAAATTATTATTAATTTTTATTTTTTGGTTCAATTGTGATTATCCATGTTAATTAATATAATTATTAAACTATTTAAATAAATGTTTTTATTTAAAATATAAAATTAAAAGTAATGAAAAGATGAATAAGGAAATGAAAAAGAAAAATGAACTAAAAAGGGTAAGGCAGCTCATGAGAAGCACGTGAAAAGAGGTTTTTCCTGCAAGCCCGTGAAGTTCTTGTTACGGTGGCCGCCGCCGGCGTTTACCCAATTCAGAGATCCAGCTTTACCTTGTAAGAATTGTGTTTCCCCCCTTAATTACTTGATAGATCTACCTATTTTGCTCTAATCAATCCTTAACCCATCTATTTTCCTTAAATTTCTTGAAACCCATATTAACAAATTAGGGAAAATGAAATCGAGTAAAGGGCATCAGGAAGACGAGGAAGAAGATTATGAAGATTTCGGTGCCAAGAAAGATAATACGGCTTCTTCCAATACCAGCAAAGGTCTGTTGTTATTCCCTTTTGAGGAATTGTAAGTTAGAATCAGTTTTGGGTTTCTAAATTTCCAAAAACTTGTTCAATTGTATCGGTTTTTGTATCCTCCAAATAAAAGTTTGTAATCCAGACGTGAACATCTAGGAAGGAAATTCTTGTAATCGGTTTTCTATGAAGTGATTTGTTTGTGTTAAATGAATTTGGATTAAAGCAGATGGGAAGAGCAGTGATAAGGCTAATGCAACTAGGTCGAAGCATTCAGTGACAGAGCAGCGTCGAAGGAGCAAGATCAATGAAAGGCATGTTTTCTTTTATCACAATCACCATTTTTTGTGTCTATTTTTGCTTGGTTTTTACTTGGGTTTATAAGTTAAGGTTCATAATTGGGAAGGATGGATGCTTTTGTAGAAATTTTTTCTCTATTATTTGGTTTATTGCTCTAGGCATACTGGTCTGCTGCAGTAGATATTAAAGAAAGACTGTTGGAAACCGTTGTAACCGAGTAAAATACTTTGTTTAATATTTGGCTTCAGTGGTCGTCTTATTGAATTTCGAGTGTGATCAATTCAGGTAGGAGTCATTATACTTTTGTTATATGTTAAATGGAAGATTACAAGTTTGAGTCAAGAAACAAATGGCAGATTACAAGTTTGAGTCAAGAAGCAACTTCTCTGCGATTGGCGTACAAACATTTCCCTCCATAACCCTCATAAAGCCTAGGAGCCTTGGTGCACCGTAATCATCCTTGACCACACACTTCAAGTTGTAAAAGAAGTTACCATACTCTTGAATTTATACTACAATGTTGATGTAGGAGTTTTATCTTTTCTGTCTGGTATTTGGAAATCTGGTCGCTCTTTATGGGTTTTGAACTTTTTTATCTGTTTTATTTCTATAAATTCACTAGGTAGTTAATGATATTGGTTAGAAATTCGCGAGAAGGCAGAAAATAAGTCAATGGGAATTTATGAACCAGGATTAAAATAAAATTGAGATTATAACTTGAAAGATATCTAATCTATGAATATGAAGAATAATGAGGACCCACAAAGCATCCTTGTTGGTGAATTCCTGCACTAGATGGGCTTGGCTATACGGACTTTAGCCCCTATATGATATTATGTTTAGGTAGGCATTTTCATTCATGTAATGTTTCTTCAAGTTTTCTCTCTCTACCAATTCATTTTTATGCATAGATTACACTACCACATCCAAAACAACCAAGGCTTTTCGGTCAACGGTATCAAGTCAAGCTCTAGAACCTTTAGGTTGTGAATTAAAGTCTCTTCAATCAAAGACACGAGTGTGTGAGCTTATATGCCGTTTGAAGATGAAGGCGTACATCAAACCAAAGTTCTGTCATATATGTAGGATTTAATTATTGACTATGTGCTTTTATGAACAGGGCAATATGAATCCGAGGATATCCTGTATTTATAGGCATTTAAAAGCATACTGCTCTTGGCATCAAACCAAATTCCTTCAAGCTTTTAGAGATTGGCTCTCGCCTTTCAGTGCATTGTTGTTTCGCTTATCTTCACATATCTTGAATTAGGCTTTGTGAAGATTGACACTTGTGGTATAGGTGAAACTTGTCTGACGGCAGTCAGTGTATGACATTGAATATTATATTTATATCATATATGGATGGGCTCATTAGACATGGTTAACAGAACTTGATTCAGTTGTTTGTCTATTTGAAAATCTCATGATAAGTACTTTCTAAATATTTGTTGGACTGTTGTAGGTTTGTTAAGATTAGCAAGAATAAAAACACTTTTTAAGAATCATTCCTGAAACTGTTGTAATACAAATCTTCTTGACCGTCTATGTAGCTTTGGTTGATGGAACTTTTTTTTCTTGCTATGTGCAAAGTTTCTTCCTCGACTCTAGGCGCAATTATATTTTGCCAGAAGCATATATCCAAGCACTTAGAAAGCCAGTGAGCCGCAAATTTCTGTTGGAGCTAGGCCCCTTTTGGTGCTCTTGGAATGACATGAAATCCTTGTTTGGCTCCATGATTGTTTGAGTACGCATAAATGCACTTTGTGTAGACATTCTCAGACGTTGAACGTCAATCAATCATTATGTGGGTACAAAAGAATAATGAATAGCATCTAACTATTCATCCATATGTAATTTGCTTTGAAAATTATGAAGGTGGTTGGATATTAAATATTTAACTTTCGATGTTTTGAGTATGGTCTTAATCCATCTCCTTTTCTTCTTTATTAGATTCCAAATATTGAGGGATTTGATACCAAACAGTGATCAGAAGAGAGATACAGCATCATTTCTACTGGAGGTAAATTAACTAAATGCAAACCTGTTTTTTAATTTTATTTATTCATTTTTTTGTGTTGCATTATTATTATTTGAGGGATAATTATCTTAGCTTATCAGTGCCACCTCTTTGCAGGTGATAGAATATGTTCAGTACTTGCAGGAAAAAGTACATAAGTACGAAGGATCATACCAAGGTTGGAACGCAGAGCCCACAAAATTAATGCCTTGGGTAACGACTTGATAGTTTACAATTCTGATATGTCCTGAAATATTTTCATAATAACAAACTGAACTTTCCATATCTTTTCTTCTGGTAGAGAAATAGTCATTGGCGGGTCCCAAATTTTGGTCAACCTCCCGTTTTAAAGAGTGATTCTGGACAGGCTCCATCTTTTCCTGTTAGGTTTGATGAAAATGTCTCGGTTGCCCCGGCCGTCAACACAACAACCCCACAGAATCCTGTTAGTGGAGATGTGAACTGTAATTTGATGGATTCACAACCTGAGTTGTTAGCAAGTAAGACAACAGTCATGCCTATGCCTATGCCGATGCCGATGCCGATGCCAATGCCATTGCCAATTCCTGTACAAGCAAGCATGCCTGTCCCTATACAACAGCAACTTGACGGTGCATTTTCCCATCCGACCACCCTTCAAGGGTCGGTCTGTAATGTGCAGTCAACAGATGGTGATGCAAATCAGCAAGAGGAGCTGACAGTTGAAGGGGGGACAATTAGCATTTCAAGTGTTTATTCTCAAGGGTGAGTATTGAAGCCAACTTTGTGGCTTCTGATTCCTGCTTTATTCTCATGAACCATGATTTGGTTTCTTATGATGCTGCTGCTTAAACTTGGATCATGATACCAAGTTGGCTATGATTTTACAAGAAGTCATGGTTGATTCTTTGTCGCCATTACAGGTTATTGAATTCTCTGACACAAGCATTACAGAACTCAGGTGTGGATTTGAGTCAGGCGACCATATCCGTACAGGTTGATCTTGGGAAACGAGCAAACAGAGGCATTGGCAAGGTAAAAAAGGTTATCAGTTGCTATTATTTTTGGTGATTTAAGTAACATTGGTTGATTTGTGATTACGTTTTCAGGATGAACAGGAAGAATTTAGCAATGGAGACAAGTCGTCATCGGATCAAGCTCAAAAGAGATTGAAGACGTGACACAAGAAACAAATTGTTACGAATATTGTACATGTTGGGTAGTTGGAGAAATCTGTCTTGTGTTGTGTTGTAGAAACAGCTGCTGCATGTATTGCAGTTTCTGCTTGGTTACGTGACAAATAATCCAAGAATTTATTATTATTATTACTATTTTTTAGTGGAATTTGTATTGTTGGAGCTGGGAAATGATGTATTATCACTTGTTAGCAACTATGAATTGGTTACGTTAATGCCATTCAAGGGTCGTCCTTTTTCATGGCAAGCTTCTTTAATTAGCATATTTTGGATTAGTATATGATAATTAAGAAGAGAAGTTAAACAGAAATGGGGTGGTGGCGCAGTTGGCTAGCGCGTAGGTCTCATAGCTTCTGAGTCATCCTGAGGTCGAGAGTTCGAGCCTCTCTCACCCCAATATCTTTTTGCTTTTTTTTTCTTCAATTAATCTTATACTTCTTTTTATAATAAAAGTTATTAAAAAATATGTTTCTATTTTTACAAATTACACCATTATAATTGTATCGTTAATAGATTTAGAATAAGTTTAATATTGAATATTTTTACATTTAATCTTATATTATTAATATTATAAATACGGTCAAATTGCATGAAAAAGTAACGTACTTTAACTTGATCCCTATTTTGGGTAACGTACTTTCAAAACTTCCATTTTGGTACCTAAGATGTAAAGTTTTAAACATTTAAGTACCCGGATACCCACTTGAAGACTAAAATTAGATTAAAAAAAAGACTAATTTTATATTTAAAAAAATCCACGTCACTGACCACGTCAGCAAATAATCACTCGCCACATCGGCATGATAATCGGTTACCACTTGAAGACTAAAATTAGATTAAAAAAAAAGACTAATTTTATATTTAAAAAAATTCACGTCACTGACCACGTCAGCAAATAATCACTTGCCACATCGTCATGATAGTCGGTTAATACTTCAACCAGTTACCCGGGTACTTAAATGTTTAAAACTTTACATCTTAGGTACCAAAATGGAAGTTTTGAAAGTACGTTACCCAAAATAGGGATCAAGTTAAAGTACGTTACTTTTTCATGCAATTTGCCCTATAAATACTTGAGAACTATTTTCAATTCTTATATTTTATGCTTGTATAGTTATAAATTAAATGAATAACTATAAGAGTAGAAAATGTAAGTATTAAAAATAATTCGTACGTATGATTAAAACCAAAAAATATTTAAAGTTGAGCTCATTTTGAACATATTAACGAGACAATTTAAAAAAATACTACAATCTAGTAACAATTTCAATCTTTATTGAGAATTTATGTTATATGATTTAAGAAGGGGATATTACTTAAAATAGTTAAATAACCATTTTTACCGCATTATTACACCTGTTAGCAATTTCTTTCTCAAAACAGCGAAAATAATCATAGGTTCACAATTTACAGAGGGGTTAAAATGCAAGAAAAAAGAAAGTTTCTAAACCCGCAATTACGGAGAACAAATATGTAAATTTGGAGACCACATCAGTAAGTGGGGATATATTTTACGGATCTATCACTAATTTTCATATTTGGTCCTCGAAACTACGGATCTGGTCTCGAGACTTCTTTTTTCTACACTTTTAACACCTCTGTAAATGACAAACCTGCAAATTACAAACCTATAACTATTTTCATAATTTTAAGAGGTAAATAACTAAGTAGTGAAACCCTCCGTAAAAAATAGTGGCACAGTTTGCTATCGTGTAGGTCTCTCATAGCCTCTCTCTGAAAGGTTATTTAAATGTTAATTTTAGGGTGGACTTAAGTCGGTCCAAAGATCCATGCACCAAACGAGTATTATTTGACTAACACATTTTCTTTTAGTTTTTTTTTATACCATTTTTCCACAATTAAACCTTCAAATGGAAGTTTGTGTGAAAGCTGTAATCCTTTTGACAAACTTGTAATCGTTATAAAAATACAGATGACCTTCGCCAAAACCATATTTTCATAGAGAAGTTGGTGTGCATGTTCAGTTCTTAAGTAATTTATTAACTTCACAGGAAATAACTGAATCGTATCACATATTTTGCATGAATGAGAAATATGTTTGATATGATCGTGACAACACATAATTAATATTTCAACTTTATGTTACGTAAACAGAATCCATCTTTTTAAAAGCAACATACTTAACATCTTCTATAGGCATATATATATATATATATATATATATATAGGTTGGTATTCAGTCATTCCCACATCACATCACGGACAAATAAATAAATTATGTATTTCATCGAACTTACGAATTTCCATCATTCATGCTCTCTACCCTTTCACTTACTTTCCATCTTCAATCTCCTGCAAGTACATGCATATATAATAGAACCCACTTATTATCATGTTTCCATATGTTTTTCTTTTCTTTCTGATACAGAAAAATCCCAAGCAATATGAGTTGGACATTTTACTTACAGAATTGTCAATCTTGTCAAAATCATCATCATCATCATCAACAAAAGCATCATTGCCTTCATCATCTGAAATCCACCAAAATGAGCAAGACCTTCACAGTATTAGTATTAGCCATTAACATCATGGGGTCAGAAAATTCAAGAGATATTGGGACTTATTAATTAAGGTCAATTCCGCAATACATGTAGTGCTTTTCGATACTATAGCTAGTCCGTTTGATTAGATTACTGCTAAAACAGGAAATTTCAAAACTGTAGAGAATGTGAGCATGGTTAATTGCGTAAACACGTCCAACAAGAAAATATGTGATATAAAACATAAAAACTTCAAATAAGGAAAAAGGTGCAGGCACCCTTTATTGATTTATGGCACTTTCGCACCAAGGAGTGCTAGGAGTCTAACCAAATTATACTCTCATCGGACAGAAATGTAGCAGCCAAGATAAATGGAGTGTCAAAACAATACAGTAATGCAACAACATTTTTTTTTCTTATAAGATACCTGGATGGCCATCACTGTCATCAAGATCTCCCAAAAGATACGAATCCAAGTCCTGCTCAGATGTAGAGGTCTTGCTTTTCAGACTTGCTTCCACCAATTCTGGTCCAACAACTAGAGTTCGATCCATATTTTCATCTTCTTTTTGTGCTATTTGTTTTAGTTTGCTCTCCTCCACAAACTTTCTTTCGTACCTATATGGTAAGAATGGAACTAATGGCATTAGACAATATGTTACATTGTAAACCCCCTTCATTTAAAATTTCACTCTTGTTGAAGCATCGGGATCAGAAAACCTCATATTTCATGATAAGCTTTCCAAAATGCTTGAGATCATTACATCTGTTTTGGAGATGCCAAAGCAGAATAAAAGGTGGGCTGGTCTGTTACGGATATGATACTCTTATAACGTGACAGAGCCTGAAGAAGTGTAACTTAGTTAATATATATACCTGGTGTCTTACTGAGAATCTAGTCTTTATGAAGTCAATCGCAATCTCAGAATATGTCAATATATCTATTTGCACCGCATTTAATATAGGCATTATAGAGATAAGAATTGGAAATTCCAAGGTAAAGTAGGCACATACGGGGATACATGAGTGCTCACAAGTGTAAAGTATATCCTCCAGAATCTTCCATCTTTCATGTGCCGTGGGCATAATTCATATCTCAACCTTGACACTTCCTGAAACATCATGATCATTATAAATATGCTTTAACATGACAAGTTTAATATTCTGAAGTGATTCAAAGTTCTTAAAGAAAGAATGGGAAGCTTGGTTTAAAAATGCGCGCATAATGCGCTGTGATGCGTGATGCGCTGAAGAAAACGCATCAAAGGGTCTGATGCGTTGCGATTCCATGATGCGCTCGCATCACCTACGCATCACACGATGCGTGCATCACACGATGCGTGCATCACACGATGCGTGCATCACTTATGCATCAACGCATCATGTATGTTGCATTTTTGGGCTCCCTTTTTCAGTTTTTAGTTGAGCTTTTTAGTTGGGCTTCTTAGTTAAGTAAAATAGAACGTGAGACTATGAGAGACCTAATAGAAGAAGCCGACAGTGAAGAAGTAGAAGTCGCACTGTGAGAGACCTAGCATCGCATATCAATTAAAACATGACGTGAGTTGTTGTCGATACTCGACAACCAGCAAAGAAGTAGAAAACGAACTTTTTAAGATTATAATGCCACTTTTTTAACTGCTTTATGTTATAAATGAAGTATTTTGATAGGTAAGTATTTTTAAGGTAGAAATTGATATGTAGAATTAATTTATAAATATTTTTTGAATACCGGGCGCATCACGTGCGTGATGCGAGCGCATCAGCATCACGCATCGGCTTCCGGGAACCTTAACGCATCGGACCGCATCACGCTTTTTAAAACCAAGATGGGAAGTAGGCAAATTTGTAAGGCCTACATATTCCATTGTCGATGTTGAAAAAATATAACCAACAATTTAGAAGGACAAAAAGAAATAAAAGTTATTACTCCCTCACTCAAGCATGCTCTTATAACAATTAGGAGACCAAAGAACATGCGATTAGAGTGTTGGTTGCATCAATCAACTCTTTAACTAATACAAATGGTTGTTAAGGTAATCATAGACTAGCAACACCAGCCAGTTCTGCTTAAAAATGGAGTTAGTTAACTTATGAAATAACAAATTTTGCTGTAAAATATAATAAAAAATAAACATTTCGTCCCACCGCATCATCTAACAAGTGGAAACAACAAAAAACATTACCCATTCACATCTATTTGGGAGCCCTGTAATCAGTTCAGAGAACAGGTGGAAAGGAAGACACAATGTATGTTCAAAGGGGGAAGTTCCTTAAGGAAAGTGAAAAAACAGGAAAATTGTAGAAGAAAGAAGGGGAAGAAAAGGTTTGACCTCAACTCAGATCATGGCTAACACAAGACTTGAGGATGGAATTATTTAGTTGAAGATTTAGAAAATGTTGGATATTTTTTGGGGATAACAGTCTCATTGCAAATGCAAAGGGAAGGCCATTAGAGGACTTCATCCACAAAATGGCTGCTTGAAGGTCGTGTTTTTATGGAGAATATTTGTGGAGTGGGCATGTGGCATATCTGTAATGCCTAGTGAAGGGATTAAATAATCAGTAGGAACTAGGATAGTAAGGGAAGCAGTAAAAGTAAAATCAGAGCAATTTCAGAGTCTAATCAGAATTTCTTTATAACTTTTCTTTTCTTTTCTGGATCCTCAAAAAATTTGTGAAAGCAGTTAGAAATCAATTTGTACTACAATCATGGATTTTCCATCTCTTATCTTTGCTTAGTTCAAGATCGCTTTAAGGATAGTATTCTGATCTATGCATCTGGTGGGTTCCGTCCTGATGACGCCAGGGAGGGTTCATCAATGGGAGTTGTCTTCAGCTGAACATTGTGTTTGTGTTTGGTGGTGATAGCTCCCATGGCATGTCTTCGGTGTCAGTACAGTCTGCTGCTCAGGTTAGGTCCTTCCATCCTTTGCAAAGGCAGTTTTTATGGGTTAAATCGTTATCTTTTTACTTAGTCCAATCCTTGCTTAGTAATTGGGTATGCTCCTCCCTGCCGATCAAGCAGCGACGCTGCTCTTAGCTTTAACATGAGCTTAAGGTGTCGGAATTTGTCAACTCGACAAGCTTATAGAGAGCCCAATATCATTTTTCTATATAAAATACTTCTGATTATTTTCTTTTGGAAGCAGTGGAGCAATTTTTTATTTCAATCTGTTTGTTTGTGGCAGCAAAGTGCACGACCTCCTTTTTGATAGACAAAGTGGCTTTTGTTGGAAGTAATCATTGTTTTCTAAGAAGCTTAATGGGAAATCTCTACAAAATAATTATAGCCGATTGCATCGCCAAAGTTAGAGCATGCTTGCTTCTTTCAAAAAGTTTCATATGGAGGAGTTCTTATCATATTCATAGCTTTCACGGAGAGCTCTTAGTTATCTTTATAGTTCAGTTTTTGTAGACACTTTGAGAATGTGGCAGGTAGACTGTTAGTTTTAGTCCACTACTTTATATCAGATTTTTGTTATCAATTAATATATTTGGCTGTTTCAAGAAACAAAAATGGAAACAATAGAAGTGCTTATGTTGTTGATATATGATCTTATATCCAGCACAAATGCCTAGCTAAGGTCCAGCAACCTGTATCTTGAAATTGTTGGCATATGCAGTGCTAGCGTTTTTAATTGGTTCTTGTTATATGGAGGACTACAATGCTGTTTGGTGTGGGTAGCTCATGACCATGAAAAAATCTAAATTTACACTTACTGCCAGTAACTTGGAATCATAATGATGACCTAACCCTGAGTAATTGAGGAAATATAGATGCATAACCATTTAATGTAGATTAATAGATGTACCACTTAAATAAGAGACCCGTACATTATCTATTAATAAATTTAGAAAGAAACACAGATCAACATTCCACTGCGTTTCTTTAATACAGGAACAGTGTCAATACCTTGACAGTTGTGAGGACTAGATTTGCATGTTTCTGCTGCCACTCTGAAAGATCTTGCCTTACATTGGAGACAGTAGCCACATCAGACACCAAATCATCTGAAGATCAAGAGAAACAAGTTTAGTTGTCCTATAGCGAAAAGCAATATAGCTAGCCATTTACAGATGAATAAAACAACAATATGGTGCAAGTAACTATGAACTTCAACATATTTCCCTAGGTTTTCAAAATGGTACTTAAAAGTAGGAATAACCGAATAAGTCCTTGAGATAGGCAAGTTGGATTACTACATACATATTTGATCCATCAAATCCAGCCGCCTTTCGACTAGCATTTTCAATTTGTAAATATTATCGATACTGCCTCAGTTCCCACTACCATGTCACTGCAGTGCACAATTGAAATAGAATTTGTTGCAAATCTATAACCATTTGTGGTGCTTTTATATCATAGAACAATAAAATGTCAATATATTTCCACACTATTTTCAATTACGTACTCGGACAAAATTATTTAAATTGCCTAAATTTAAATCATTAATAACAGTTGAGACTTGAGATGATTAATATTCTGTTTTAAACCAACAACGCCTGTTAGTTAATTTGATTAAAGTCATGATAGATATGTAATTGTATAACAAGTGTGAACTTCAGTGATCATATCCATTTGGCCCTCTTTTATAAAGGCCAATGTAGCTGGCAATTATTTCTAGAAAGCTCAAAATCCATTTCAATTTTGAATTTGAGAATCAAAGTCGACACTCATAGCCAAAAGGTACCTAAACGTTCTGGACTTGGCTGATCAGTTAACATTATCAATAGTCGATAAAGCATGAGTACTCATAACTTGTATAGAAATTATTACAATAAAAATTAACAAAAAACGATAACAGATCAAGCGAGGAAACCTGGAAAGGGGAAATTCTGGAATGTGGATAACGTGAGGCCTTTGACGAAGTCTCGTAGATCCTGAGTGATGCCGAACTTTTCAAGGTCCAATTCCGACGGCGAGTCAGAAGAAGAAGCAGAGGAAGTAATGGATAGAGACGGGATTTGATCGGCGAGTGAGAGAAGAGCGGCGGTCTTGAACTCGTCGGCTTTCTTGGAAGCCTCGGCGGCAATGTCTTTGGATCGCTTGGCGGTCTCGGAGACGATGTCAGCGATTCTGACCGGAGAAGAGGTTAAGGTTTGAGATCTCTTTGTTGCTTCTTCAGCTAATGATTTTGCCTTTTGCCAAAAGCTCTCCATTGTTCAAGTCTTCCTGTGGTCGCTACTGTGATTTCAGTGAAGCGGAATGGTGGTGGCGAGGTAAAGATAAAGTTACGGTCACCCACCTCATGCCAACAACCGGATCTTACCATCCTCATTGCGACCCGACCAGAAACCATTTTGACTCATTTTATCTTTACAAATAATCAAATGGGAGTTAAATATTTAAAATATTTTTTTTATATTATTTTAATTAAATAATTATTTAAAACGGAGAAAATAAAGATTTTAATCAATAATTTTTCTGAAACTTTAAATTTAAATTTAAAATTGATAAAACGCAACAGAGGATATGAAATTCTTTAAATCTAGACTCTTAAAAAATATTACCATTGGTTTATAAAACAGAAATATTATATTATCACCGACAAGAAAATTTTGATGATAATATTAAAAATAAATAATATTTTATTATATGTAATATAAAATATTTTAATGATCTAATTAAATGTTGTAATCTTTAAAATATAGAATCTATTAGAGTTAAATGTAATTTTTTTATGCACATTTTTAAAACTCTTTCTACACTATATTTTCGTAATTTTTACTGATAGATCATATGGTATATTGATTTTTTTTCCGTATGTATCTTTTACAAGTATTTTTAAAATATTGTTCAAAACAATATCGTATTAGTTTGTGGCAGACTTAGGGGCCGTTTATCAAATACTTACCCGGTAAGTGTTTAGCGGTAAAATTTAACACTATTATTTATTTATCGGGTAAGATTTTAATCCACCAAAATGACATTGTATGCAACAATTTATCCGGTAAGCCTTACCGTGGTAAGAGTCGTCGCCCTCACTTATGGGGTAGGACTCTTGGTCCTTATCTCAATCTTACCGAGTAAGATTTTTGGTCCTTACTATATTCATTCGGTGATGTAATGTTACTTGGTAAGCACTTAGTGGGGAAGGGACCCTTTAAAAAAACAAAATTACGAGGGTTAAAAGTAAATTTTTTTAACTTTTCTTTTAGTTCCTCCTAGAGATGGCCAAATCGGCCCGGCCCGGGACCGCCGGAGGACCGGGACCGGGACCGACGAAGAACTGGCCCGGCCCGGAACCGGTAAGGACCGGTTATGGGACCGAAAACCGGGACCGGTCAAGTTTTTGGTAGTTTAGTGGGACCGACTATGGACCGGCCCAGCCCGAAAATTCAAATAATTTTATAAATAAATGTATTTTTAAATAATTTTATAATGTATTTTTATAAGAAAACGTAATTTTAATTATATTAAAATGCATTTTTAAAGTGTATTTGAGTAACCCAATTGTAAATTTTATAATGCATTAAAAATATATATCATTAAAAAAATAAAATAAAAATCTTAATTTTTAATGCAAAGACCGGTTGGGACCGGGACCGGCGGCCCATAACCGGTTATGAAGTACCTTGACCAGTCCTATCATTTTCGACAGGAACCGAGACCGGTTATGGCCGGTTAGGACCGATTGGAACCCGCCCGGGACCGGTTTTTGGCCATCTCTAGTTGACTAGTTCCTCCAGTAAATTTTTACAAGGGACCTACAACCCTAGCCGACTCTAAAAAAGTCTCTTAAAGTCAACCAAAAAAGTCTATTAAAATCAATCAAAAAACCCGGAAAAGTCGTTCAAAATCGATAAAAACACTAAAAAAATCTCTCAAAATCAACCAAAAACTTTTAAAATCCCTCGAAACGTTGTAATTAGGTTAAAAATCTTTTGTAATCAGATTGTGACGTCACTCTTGAACAGTTAAAATTAGTTGTCAGTATCTACTTTGATTTAGATGACCTACGATAATCCAAGTGAATATATACAATTGCTTTGTAATTGTATATACGCCTTTTTATTTCGTTTGCATCGACACTTTCATCTTTATGCATCGTACTATTCAAATTTAGAGAATTTATAGAAACCGAAGACAACACAATGAACCAATCAAAAGCAAAATTGTTATTTTCTTGTAACGATATAACATTCTGTATGTCTCACAAGACACTTTTATATGTCCCGATTTGTAACTAATCAAATTTTTACATATAAAATACATGTATTAATTAAAAACCTGAAGAGAATAAAAACATATATAAATCATAAATTTTGTATATGTGAGATTCATGGGGAATTGGTGGGTTTTTGAAAATAGTTGTTGTGAATAGGGGGTCGTCTTCTCACGTGAGAATAATCCATGATGGTAAAATGGGTCGGGTCGGACCCTTTTGCACCATTTACCATTGCTTCTTCTCCCCTCTTCTGTACTTCATCTATACATAATCAAGAGATCATAAATATGTCACAGAAGTCTTCTTTAATTAATTTATGTGGTGACATTACGTGTATGTATATATATATATATATATATATATATGCATTAAAGTTGGAATTTTATGAACAAATCACCTGATACAGCTTTATTTTGCTGACTGTAAAACACCAAATCTTGATCTCCATACCCTTCAACCTGATGAAAACAAAACCCTTAAAAACTTAAATTAGAAAAAGAATCAAACCCCAAATTAAAACGTTTTGATTTAAATATTTTCGCATTTGATTTTGTTGGTTGTAATCTTATAAGGTCCAAATTTAAGGTTATATATACCCTTTTTTGGAGCATCAACTTTCTTGTAATCATATCTCCAGGAGAAAAATACTGTTGATCATGATGATGATAACCTGCAGAAAATATAAGCACATGATCCAGGTATCATCATATATGATTAGCATGCATGAAATACATAAGCTTGCATCATCTGAGTATTTCACATATATATATATATTATATACTTAAAAAGAAACATACATATGTATATATATATATACCTAACTGATCATGAGAAGCTTGCATCTGATGAATCTGGAGAGAAGCAGCAGCATCAATGGTTGTCATGAAAACTGAAACGTTAACACACAACATTGCCATCATGGAAATCATCATCTCCATACCCATCTTAATGATCGATATTTATGAGACCTATATATATTATATATGTATGTATATATATATGTATATATATATTAGGCAGGCTTCAAATGACAGCACCATTTTAGTCCTTTATGATGGGAGGACCATTTAGTAAAAACACACATCTCCATCATACACCAAATTGCTGAAATTTTGTTACCACTCTTACAAAAGCTCATCTCATCCTTACTATTCTTTACTTTTACATGTTTCACTATATATCATAAAACATCTATAATTAACTCTTTACGAGCGTATCAATTACTTATTCTCTCATTATAAAAGCTAGCTCGAGGGGACGAGCTCGTCTAACATCATCACATATTGACATGTTATATCATGTAAATAACAAACTCGAAATCATTTTAGTTGGGAATTTAATTTGGCATGAAATAGATCTTAATCAAATTTCCGTACTTGTGAACTCCCAAATATGATTGAAGTTTTGGGTCAATTGCACAAAAGGTGCACATGCATGTGTATCTATGCAATGAAAATCCCTATTATATATCTTCCACATGATCCATCCACCTCATAATATATGTATATATATATATATATATATATATATAAGCTTTGTCTGGTCTACTTTAGAGGTGTAGACAGAAAATATAAGCTTTGTCTGGTCTAGTTAAGAGGTGAAGACAGAAAGGTGGTTGTGATGTAGCTCTTGGCCTCATCTACTATTTTCGTCTTTCATTTAATTATAATCCATCCTTTTTAATATTTAGTAATTAATTATCTAAAATGCCTTTTAATACTACAAACAATTCTAGTTTCTAGAAAAACGAAAAACAAGTCAATACAAAGACCATGTTCCAACCTCAAATCAAACTTGCAGTAAGACATCTGGTTTGTGCATTTATCTAAAATTTTTGTTGATTTCTATGTATATGAATCTGGCATCCTATAAATAAATAAAAGATGGATGGACTCAGAATCTACAGCATAGAATGCCATGCCTCCATCCACGATGCTTCTGTAGCCGCCTTCGGTCCGCTTTTGCCATTCTTACAGGGCTGCTGTTCCACTCCGTCTGAAGTCTGCAGCCAACATAAATACATCAATGTCGTTAGATTCTATAAGCACAGCTGTTAGCTGAGGGAGGACGACGATGATAAAATTTGACCAATCCTAATGGACCAGAAACAGCAGGCCATGAATCATCCAAAAAGAATTATGATAGATGGTGTGACCCCCTCCCTCCCCTGGCAATTACTGTCCGAAAACCCCTTGGGGAGAAAAGGAACTATGTATTCGAAAGAAATGGTCCAAATCTAGCAGAATCGAGTCTAACACAGATTGTCCTAGAATGTCGAGTCCCTAAAATGGTACACACTGGCTCAGTGTAGCCCCCTCTCGACACCTTGGGACAATTTGTTCTGTCTAGCCTCCCTTGAAGGGAGCGTTTTAAGAGTTCCAAATCGGCTAGACATGGATTATTTCTTCCCAAAATATGTTGAAGAGTAATCTAATAGGGTTCCTCGTATTCTCAAAGATGGGAATTCACAAACACCAACAGAGGAAAAGAAAGTGGGATGTCTGTTATTACATGGGAAAGGCGAAGGATCTGGTGCTAGTTGTGCTGCTATCTGACCGAATCGAGACGCTGCCAGAAAATGCTATAGGTCCAGAGTAAGTTATTCGTCCCGAAACAGGACCTGCAACAGAGAAACTTGATTCTCCCTCACCACGTTGCACCGGGTTTACCATTGCAACATTATCTGAAGCCACATCCAGGTGGTTTGGTGCACCTTGCGCCTCAATGGGAAGTTCATGAACATTTTCGGGATTCTGAACTCCATGGAGACCACCACTAGTTGCTGGTTTGCCATTGTTGAGATTCAAAGCGTTATTTCCCTCCATCATGCTTTCATTTGAAATATCGGTTGTCTGAATACTTCTGCCTGGTTCTTCAGCTTCATTTTCCACAACAGGCCTTTCCGAGACCTCTTCTACGGCACTCTGCAAACAGGAGGATTACTATCAGATCCAAATTTATAGTAGTACGAATTGATGCAGAGAAAATACAGATGGTGTTGTTACATACAGAAGACCAAGAATAAATGCAATAGAAGTCGCTTTTTTTTTTTTAATTTTGTAATGTACTCACTACACTAAAATCGGTTTAATTGGCCACCAAATTATGTCTAGATGTCCTAATAGATTGTTGTATAAGACCAAACAAGCATGTCTTATGTAAAAGTGTTACAATAAGTGGATAGGATGATGAGGTTGGCCTTACGAGTTTCTTAAGACACTATGAAATAAAATATCCTATACTTTTTTTTTATAGAACACTTTTGAGAAGTGCCCTATGAACACAACTTTTCACAAAACACTTGTTTATATGACACTTTTTCCAATAATATCATATAAAAAGACTAAAATGAGGCTTTATTTCATAAGTGTCATAAAAGAACTTGTTAGGATGCAAAAATATATCATATCAACTTATTGCAACACCTTTACGTACGACGCACAATTGTTTGATCCTAAAAACGTAAGTGTTGTATAACAGTCTATTAGAACATTTAGCGTGACATAAAGACAATTTTGCTGATGTGATACTTAAGAAATGCAGAGATGCTTGGAATTATATGTGCATTGATCTTTCCTGTTAAATTCTGCTACTTTTTCCATGTACAACCTCATTGGTAGGGAATAACTCGATGCTTATCCTCAGAGATATCTAACAAAACTTCATGCGGAACATTGTAACTCAACAATTGAACCATGAAAATGTAGAAAATACTAACCTGACAAGGCTGTTGATGAATATCACGAGCGCGATTGACAGAATCGAGAAGGAATTGAAGGGATGGCAGTGGTTCATCTTGTTGCAATGAGGGCACGCTAATAGAAACTACTTGCTCTGTAGAGGCGTTATCCAATAAATTGGCACTTGAATTAATCTGTTTTTCACCAGTCTCTGTCGAGATTTCTGGACCATAATTGTCAGTGGCTTTTGGAACAGTATCAGATTCTGCAGAAATTTTTAACTCATCAAGAGAACATTCAGAAGGTCCATCATCATCACCATTATCATCTTTAGATGTATTTTTCAACTCATTTGGAACAATAGAATCAAGAGCTTCTTCCTTGGGCCCACATTCTTTTGCAGTATCATCCTCACAATCTTTGGAATCTTTATCTGGTACTGAACTATGGAAACATCGAACTGCAATCTCTGTATCTATATAATCATTGACAGGCTCACTGACGGGCAAATTAGTATCAATTTCTTGGGTCTCCGAAGATGCATCAGATTTCATGCAAGAATCTTTGCTAGACGAAGGTCTTATCTTTTCACCCATCACAAGCTGAATATCAAGATTCCTTTCAATCACTTCATCACGATTATCTCCAACATCCATATGATCATCTGTAGGTTCTAAAACGGGCAAATCAGATTCCATGTAATAATCCTCCATATGTGAAAATCTCAACCCTTCAGGCTTCAGATACTGAGTATGAAGACTATCCTCGATTATCTCATCTTGTTTACCTTCGTTAGCAGGAGAAGAGATGCAATGAATTTCATGATTATTCTCATCAAACAAAATCCTTTCCCCATGAGGTATTCCTTCATCAACACAAATATCCTTAACATGGAAGGCACTCTCTTTGTAACATACTAACAACTCAGGCAGCTCACATTCCATGACATTTTTATCTGTGTAAAAGTCGGTTTCTTTCTCGAAAAATTCTGAAGGAAGATTACATGGTGCTAAAGATCTAAACTTTTCATCGTCACAATTATTGGTCAAATCATCCTCGATATTTGAACATTCAAGTTCTTGATTGTTCCAGAAGTTGACTTTTTCATTCTCTTCGTCTGATAAAAAAGGATTTGTATATCTTTTAGGACTCTCTTTCATGGCTTCCTTCAGTTCATCTGTATCAAAATCACTGTTGTTGGATTCAAATCAAGTATAGTATAGAATCGAACTTCTATGCTAGAGTCTATGACAGACTACAGGTTCTTTTGAGGGTACCAAAAAAAATGGCAACCATCATGACATACTGAAAACAGAGCAACCTAAAAATGCATAAAGCAAGAATAGTAAATGATGGAACTAGGACATAAGTAGCGGTATTCATAAACAAAAAGATTTTCAGTTGAAACAGAGGCCAAGAACCTAGAAAGCTTGGAAATTGGAACCAGCAAATAACTCCAGTAAACAATATTTAAATTGACCAACAAAATGGAGGCAGAGCAACCTTACCGGATTTCATTATTCACATGCGTTGGATAAGTTTGGAGAATTCGCAAGAGCTGTGACACATACATTCGCTACCTTGCAATAGGAGACGCCACCTACCAAAATGAAAGACAAATACAACTGATATAATTCTCATGTGAACTGCTACAGCAAAAGAGAAGCAAAAGCATGATCCAGAACGACGAATAATCAACTCTATAATCAGTAAAGATGAACACCAGAAAACTTGTCTTAAACCAAAAAACCTACAACAAAAGTCAAACTTGCATTTCGAATTTTATAGGTTGTTTGCTTGGTTTTCCATTAAGTCCTGTATGGACAAAACTGTGTGTGGATTAATCTGTCTTTATAGATTGGGAAGGTTTTTGTTTGGGATGGTTCTTTCATAGATGGAATAAGCATGTTTTCTATAATTGGCAATAATAAGTTTAGAAAAAACTTGGCTTTCTACATAAAGCTCCCCCTAGAAGCTTAAGGAATAAGCCACTTTCTATATCATTAAGCCACTATCAAATAGCCATATATAGCTGACCCAATAAGCTCATTAAGCTGCTAACAAACACGCCCTTAGTTAGGTAGGATGTTCAAGGTTTTCCCTACTTAGGTGAAATGGAGAGCACCAAGAAAAGATTGGATGACAATACCGACTATATTCAAAACAATAAACGGAGAACCACATCTAGTTGCTCAAAGACTAACTATATCTCAACAAAACTGCATCTGCTATATGAAATATCATCACTAGTTCTTTATAACAGTCAACAGCTTACCCAAAAGCCAATGAAAATAGAGTCCAAGGTTGTATAGCCAAGAACAAAACTTGAAAGGATTCATTAGTCCACCAAAAAATTCAAAGAGAAAACAAACGAGAGGTAAATGATGTCCTACGACCTTGAGAAGGGGGAAAAGACAACAAAGAAAAGTTAAAAAGAGCTATATTAAAATAAAAACTTTTAAGAGTAATTCCACTAGCATAGAACAGCTAAAAGAACTTTTAATATTCCTCAGGTGTGTTCTCTTACAGCCTTCTTTTTTGTCAGTTACCTTACCCTGCTAGATAAAAGACCCAATTTTTTAATAGGGTTTTCAGCCAAAACGAAACACTACTTTACAATCTCAACACCAGATTTAATAAACCCTAAAGCGATAAAATTCGAAGCAGATCCTAACAAATTCGCACTTTGTAACCACACATCAACAATGAAAAGTATATAGGTAATATATATGAATATATATATCTATATATATACACAATTAACCGAAGTACCTGTACACCAAATCAACCAAATTAAACTCTCGTCCGGCTACGTTACTGCTTCAGAAATGACAATCGACACTGCAAAACGAAAACACACAAACAGCTTTAGATTTTTCTTTTCCAACGGATGCTGTCGTGTAAAGAACCAAAAGCAGAATGACACGCAAAACTGAACGAATCAAATAAAAGGAAAATTTAGTAAACATTGAGCAACAGATCCGAACTTTACGGTAAACATAGATAAAGCAAATTTCATGGATTTTGAGTCGAGACAGAGTAGAAAAGAGGGCAAACAATTGAACTCATACCACTTACAAAAAAAAATGTCAACTCTTTAAAACCTAATTACTCCAATCATATATTAAATACAGTGCATTTAATATATAGATATAGACAGCTGCAGAATCAAAAGTGTCCCGCCACTAACATTTTGAGCATTTATTACACACAAAATATGAAAACTCCAAACGAAAACAGCCATTTTCCCTTCAGAAATTCATTATGCATTTAGATTTAGAGATCCTGAATAAATAAATTCAAAATCGGTCACCTGAAAAACTTGGTTCAGACCTTCGTCTCCGTCGATCTTAGTACTGTCTTCAAATAACTCAAAAATTATGTCAGTTTCTTGTGTAGATGGTAATCAAGTTGTTCAGCAACCGGTGGTTGATGACGGGAGGAAAGAGAAAGGTGCCGGAAAAGTGAAGAGAGAAGGTGAATCTGTTTAAAACAGAGAGGCAGTCAGATGAGCGGAATGTGAACAACTCATCATCTGTCAATGGCTGGGGGAACGAGGATCTTTTTTTTTATTTTTTTATACTTAATTTATAATACTAATGGTGGGACCCAGCTGTTTTAATACACGTGGGTCCCACTTCCCACCATCACCGCCACTATTAGCCATATATGGGTGGTGGTTTGGTAATTTGGCGGATCACCATCCTAAAATCAATTGTATAATACATTTTATCCTTATGAAATAAAACGTATAAATATATTAGATTTTTTAAATTAAAAAATATAAGATGTTGAATATATTCTTTAAAATTTTATCTCAGATGAAAAAAACATGACAGAGAGGGAGAGAGCATCTCTAACATATTCTTTAAAGTAGGGATTTGAAATCTTTTGCTCAAAAAAATTTATCAAAACTTTTTTCAAAAATGGATAAAGTAGGTGAGAGATGGTAAAATTCTTCAAATTTAGAGAATTCTTGAAAATGAGTACCTCCGAAAGAAATATTATTGTTTATTTTTTCTTACCGATGAAATTAAATGTATAGAAAAAATAAATATTATTTTGTGAAACGTATTAAATATTTTAATAATATGAGTAATTCATATATATAATTTTTTTATAAATATTTTGACTTTTGATTCTCCATATTCGATAATCTAACTGAGATGTTACGAAAAATCTTCAAATTTGAAGAATTTCTTATAAAATGAGTATCATGAGAGAGGAAATAATATTTATTACATGAATATATTATTTAAATAATATAATTAATGTTTTAGTCTTTAAAATATCAAATCTGTTGGAGATTAATGTAATTTTTTTTGAGATTTTAAGTTTTAATTATCTATTTTAAAGAAACTGTTACAGTATCTTCAACAAATTCTTCAGAATACAGATTTTAGAGTTTTTTACTAAAAGTAATTATCCAAAATCTTCTTGCAAAAATCGAGAAAGTTTGAGATAAATAATGAACTTCTTCAACTTTAAAGAACTCTACAAAAATGATTGTTTATGAAACATAACTGATATTGTATTCTTCCTACCAATGAAAATCATTAAAATTAAATATTTAAGAAAAATATATAATATTTTATAAATTATATTTAATATTATAATAATATAATATATTTTTGAACGA